GCTGGATCTCCTGCATGCCGTTGACAATGCTCTGGAAGCCCGAGCCGCAGAGGCGGTTGATCGTGAGCGCCGGCTTCTCAATCGACATGCCCGCCTTGAGCTGGACGTGGCGCGCAATGTACGCAGCATCCTTGGACGTCTGCGCGACGTTGCCGACGATGACCGTGTCGACGAGCTTCGGGTCGAGGTTGGCCGACTGCAGCGCCGCCTTGGTCGCGTGCGCGCAGAGGTCCGTGGCCGAGACCGACTTGAACTTGCCGCCAAAGGCGCCAAAGGGCGTGCGCTTGGCCGCGACGACAAAGATGTTGGTCATGCTGCTGCGAGGTGCGAGATTGAGAAGTGCGTCCGAGGATCCGCCGCCGCCAGTTCGACTCGACACAGCAGTTTACTCAACACCCCAAGTTCAAGTGCCACCGTATCCGGATGCGGCAAGATCGCAACTGGACCACACTGCCACAAATAATCATATCTACGCCATATATACCACCTATAGCCTGATTTACGCGTCGGCGTTGAAATCACGTGGCTCGCGTCATCGGCGCAAATCACCAACTCCGAGCGCGTCGAACCATCGAGAGCTTGTGTCAGAGAGCTTCACAAAGCGCGACTATGGTATAGCAGGTAGGCTCCATGCAACATCAGCACCTCGCGAGCTGCATGGATAGGGACGCAGATTCGAGGGATATCCTGGCTAGAAGCCGCCCGCCCGAAACGGAGACGAAATCGATCTCACGCACGCCGTTGCGGATCGATCCTTGCAACGAGGATGCGAGAAAATCGCAATAGGTAGGATTCACACAGTAGCTCTTCCACGACAACGTCTGGAAGAGAGGCGCGTTGGCGAGAAGCGCATCAAGCGCAAGGTACGCGATGGCCGAGATGCCGACGCTGTGGAGCAAAGTCAGCGCCACCAAACGCTTCGTGGTCGCTAGGGACAGCGCGACGGCGCCGAGATCGACATCGAGAAGCTTGAGTTTGTGGAGGGCCGAGAAGCGTGGTCGCATCTCGAGGAGATGTTGTCGTTGCACGCGATATTGATAGTGAGCGACGTAACTACGCTACGTCAGGGTTGCCGTGATCGAGGAGGCTTTGGACCACAAACGGTCGACCAGCGCGGCGAGATTCTCGTCGTCAGCAATCTCGTCCAGGTGCGAGAGAGAGCTTGTGACAGAGTAGATTCGAGTCGTCTTTCAATTGATGCCTGTCGTTTTGGAGGCGTAGATACGTGGCGTGGTCCGACTGCAACGACGGTTCGAGGATCGCGGCCCATTCGTTTGGGGCCTGGTTGAACGCGATGGTCAGCGACGAGACAGCGTGCTCTGGCGTCGTATGCCGAATTGTTGATGAAAACGAACATGATCTATCTCTAGGATTAGGATGCAGCCGCCCAGGTTCCCAGAATTCGAGGTGTGCAAGGTTGGCGTATCATGCAAGTCCTGACATGTTTATGGTGGATTTTCCGCCAACGGGCGCGGTATTCCAGATAAGCGAGCAAAAGACGTCTGGTTCCTCCAAAAGGCTGCCAAGAACCCTTCCTCAAACTTGAGGTGCGTCACCTTGTGCCGAAACGTGTCGACGAGCCACTCCAACGCGCCCAGAGATGTGGTCCATGGCGCATGGCCAGACGGCATAAATTGCCAATTGAATACTGGGTCGCCCATCTCGATGGCGGAAAATGCTGGCAGCGCGTCGACGACGAGGCCGGCGGAAGCTGCATTAACAAGTCTAGCTGCAACAAGAGAACTCAAACAGGGTAAGTGATGCGAAGCCAAGAAGACCCCTTGAAGCATCTTGAAGCAGCAAACGACAGAGTGTGGTAGGATGACACTTGCATCCATCCTCCATCCTCCGATGCAGTACTCTGTTTTCTTATGGGGCCATTTCTCAGCGTGGTGTAAAGCTAAACTTCACTCGGATCATCGTCCACGACCACCAAACTCAATCTCAAAACCTCGTATGGTGAGTGATTGATTCCAGAATGCAGAAGGTGCGTGAACTGAGTCGAAGCCAACTTGGAATGGATACACGATGGTGACGGCGTCTCGAAGCGCTCGACGACTTTTTCAATTGGAAAAACAGCATTTAAGACATCAGAATTGTGCTTTATCATCACATCACTCGTCCAACGCAGCTCCATAGTCTAAAGCGCTCGACACGACGTCAACCAAACATGTGGTGGCGACACGCCGGAAAGATCGCTGCCATCCGTACCACATGGTCGCGAAGCTACTTCAACGCAGCTGGCCAATCGGCCGCTTTAAAGCTCAATTGCATCCGCGTATACAAACACCTAGTATAGATACTCAATTGCACTTTCCATTGAGTTGGAGCCGGGGAGGCGATGAGTGTCATTTGGCGATCGGCAAGAAGACGATCACCATGGCCCGTGCCTGCCTCTCGGTCCTCGCGCTGAGCACCCTCTGCGCGCTGACGTCGGTCCATGCGACGCGCCACCACCTCGAGAGCTTCCGCGGCCACGCCCATCACATCCAGTACGACCCGGACAACAACGGGATCCCGGCCGTGACCGAGCACAACTACACCGAAGCGGTCCTTGACCACTTTGCGCCCGTCGCGGCGCGCAAGCACTGGAACCAGCGCTACTTTGTCAACGACGAGTTCTGGGCCGGCGAGGGCTACCCGGTCTTTCTGTACATTGGCGGCGAGGGCCCGCTCTCGGCGTCGGCGCTCTCGAGCCGCAACTACATCCACACGCTCGCCAAGTCGCACCGCGCGCTCATGGTGGCCGTCGAGCACCGCTTTCTACGGCAAGTCATACCCGACGCCAGACATGAGTACGGCGAACCTGCAGTATCTCTCGAGCCAGCAGGTACTACTTCTTTTGTCTTCTTCGCACTCGC